ATGGACGGACAGACAGATGAGTGAACAGACAGACGGGTGGATGGACAGACGGGTGGATGGACAGACGGGTGGATGGAGAGAGGCAGACAGACATGTCGTCATGCAGATGGTGATCTTGCAGTTGGGACGGATCTGGAAGCTGGTGGAAAAAGTTCAGTGAATCTCCTATTGATAGTAGAGCAGGGATGTCCAAGGTAAGGCCCGGGGGCCTATGTTTGGCCCTTTGGCTGACTTTGTGCGGTCCCCAACTACAATTCAAAAATATTACATATTTGGACCGTAGATGGAAATGGAGATTTTTCTTTTGTAATCAGGCTAAAATTGGCAACCAACATAACAAATAAAAATGTGAAATAATCACAAGCAGAAGGAGTTTGCTTCCCACTGGAGAAGTTTTGATTATTCCATTCATTGGATGGGATGCAGTTCTATGCAGATGATCAATGACAATATATTTTTGAATGGTAGATCCTTGAAGACCACACTGAAGCTAACTATAATTAGGAAGACAAACTTTCAGTTGGATCTTTTCCTTTATTTTCCACTTGCCAAATTAGAGAGATAAAAGGAAATGTTACCAGGTGAGAATGAGCTGCCATGAAGCATCTGGCAGGAGCGAACACCCTGAAACAGTCATGTATCAAATACCAGCGATTAGTGCCAGCTGCTTTCAGCTGACTTTCCCTCCAACACGCTGCTGCAGCTGATCCGACTTCATTAGCCTGTGAAGTAACTGACTCATGGTTTCTTATCCTCATGCTCTGTTTTTTCATGCGTGGTCTGTTGTGCGTTTAAGACGTTACGCCTCTAAGCGTTTGGGCAGACATGGGGACTCTCGACGGAGTCATAGTCAGGCAATTAATTAGCTCCCCGGGCGATTGGCTTTCCCAGCATGCATTCTGCAGCCGTCTCACTGCGAGCGGCGCCGGCTTCCTCAAAGCTGCACACAGAAAACGTTTCGATTTATTTCAGAACCAAGAAATAAATCGAAATAAAACAGCACACAGTCAAGATGCTGTGTGCTGTTTGTTGGCTTTCTGGATTTTATACAACACAAGTTTAATCTGTACAGATTAGCTGAGTAATTTGAAATAAAGTCATTCCAGTAGATTTACGTAATCTGAACTAGATTACAGAGAGCCATTAAGTTAGATTAAGTTGAACAAACACAGAAGTGACCTTCTGTTGTGCTTCAGCCGAGTTCTGCTTGAAATCTAAACCTTTGTGGTTTGGTAAAGTTCAGCACCCTGAACTGAAACTCAGTTTACCGCTGGTGATGATCTGTTCTGATCTGTTGCAAGTAGTTTATTTTTGATGTTTTCATTTGACCAATTTAATTATTCATAGTTCAAACACCCATTTAAGCAGCTTAAGGGTTTTCTTCCATGGAAAACTTTTAAAACTAATTTGAATAATGAACAGAAGTGAATGCACTTCTTCAGCTGGAATCATGTTTGAATGATTGAAGTCAGACTGCTTTTTCTGTGAAAGAATATCGAGATGTTTTGTGTTATTTTTGTGCAAAACTAAGAATCTTATGTTTATAAAAGAAAATCTGCCTTTTAGAAGTTATAGTGTTTTAGAGTGATTAATTGATTAATCATAATAAATTGATTAATCACAATAAACTGATTAATCACAATAAACTGCTTAATCAATAACTGATTAATCAATAATTGATTAATAGTTATCTCAGTTAAAAAGACCATTTGCTAAAATTAACATAGTCAGAGCAGCAATTAAGCCAAACTGTTCAAAATATCCTCAACAGCAAAACAGCAAATCCTCTTTTTGTAAAACTATTTTCATGAATAGAAATGTTTTTTCCTCATTTGGTCAACTATGTCAGTGTTAGTACTGTTCAATTAATATAAAAAATGTTCAATCTGCCGTTTTAGTCTCAACTAAACTGTTTCTTGAAGGCTAATTTTGTTCACAGAGATTTCATAATTCATTTTATGTGTTGTTTCTGTTTTTACTTATTCTGGATATTTGAAATGTCTCCCAGTTCCAGAGTTAAATGCTCACCAGTATTTAAAGTTTGTTGATCTTTGATAATGTTTTGTTGCGTTGTTTTTTTTATACCATTGCATCAATTGAAATGGGTCCCGTAACAACGTTATGGTGTCCCATAGCAAAAGTTTCCCTGTGTGGGAATATCTGAGTGTTTACCTCCTGCATCGTCTCAACAGAATATTTTTTCTTTGCCCAGTTAGGTTTAGTCAGATCATTAATTTATTCATAAAGAGAAACATTTGTCTGTAAACACATTTTGCTCAAAACTCCTTAAGTAGCATAGCTTCATTAATGTCATATTTTATGCTATGAAATGTTAAATCAGTTGAATTATTTGTTTGTTGAACAAAGATTCTTAAGTATTTAGTCAAAATCTGTAGAATCTTTTTATCCGATTAATCGATTAATCAACAGAGGAATCGATAGAATAGTTGCAGGCCTAGTTCAAATTTTATGATACTGAAAACAAAATGACTGGAAATTATTTTATATTATTTTTTATGTGAACATCTTTTGAGGGGATTTTTGTAAGGATTTTGTACATCTTGTTCAGCCTCCTCTGGTCAGTCAGGTAGGTAAAGAATCAACTGCCAGAAATAAAGAAAGCAGAATGTGGCTCAAGTGGTTCGTTTTATAGTTTTGTAGGGAAAAATAAACTAACCCTGAGACGGATGCTCCTAACCGCTCCCGTCAGAATCAGAGAGACGAGGAAGGGGCCGACAGACGGGGAGAAAACCAGAGGCTGAGGAAGTCAATAATGTACTTAACCTTCCTCCGCAGACTCCCTGCATCCCTCCTTGTTATTGTGAAGCACAGGGCTGGCGCGAGGCGGGGAGAGGGAAGGGCAATAAAAAAGCTTCTTTGGAATAGAAAAAGCAGAGGCAGGAAGGGAGAGCTGATTTTTTTTGTCAGCATAAATGTCAGAGTGGTTAAGTGTGCGCACGGCAGGCGGAGAGACTGAAGAACAGGAAGAGTCCCATATAAGAGGAATTGCCCCGTTTTACTGCCACATAAATCTGCCCTCTGCACACTAAACTGCCTCTTTTTGCTTTTCCTGCCTGGATGTGGAATTTTGCTCCAAGTGAATTTCAGAATCGTTGCCGTTTCATTTGATAATTTCTAATCTTTTTGTTCTCACATTTTGCTTGTTTTGTTTTTCCATTTGAGTCTGAGTTTCTTTCAAAGACAGACCAAGAGTTTTTAAACAAACTCCTTGCCGTTTTCTGGGAATAGGTTTAAAAAAAATCTCATTTGACAGGTACTGTGATGTTGCCTAGCAACCTCAGCTGATCTACAGCATGTTTGGTCAGCTGGTTTTGCCTCTGTGTGTGCTGTACAATGGCTGCTGGAAAAGACAAGAGTTTTGCTGTTTATGCCTGTCACAATAAGTCAATCAATCACAAGCTCAATAATTTCCATTTGCGTGGAAATGCAAATGAAGTGTAAATTTATCGTTTTCCTCCAGTTTGCTGCTTTGGTCTCAACTAAACCTTTTTTGAAAGGACAGTTTTGTTTCCAGAGACTCCATAATTCATTTCTGTTATTTATTTTAGATATTTAAAATGTCTTCCAGTTTTAAATGTTCCTTAGAACTTAAAGTTTGTCAGTCTTTGATCATGTGTTCTTGCATTAACACCATTATATGACATGAAAACTTTCTGAAAACAACAATGCTGTTGTTGCGATAAATTCTTTCATTCCGGAAAAATTGTCATTATGATAGGTGCAGTCCAGACTTGGCATCCAGAAACCACTGGCTGCGTTCTTGTTGGTTGTGCAGGATGCTCCATTAATGCTTTTCAAAGATGTATGGTTGTATAATTTGTTGAGTTGGGGGCGTGGCCAGCAGCAGCAGCTTGTCTGTATTCCAGTCTGATCAGTGAGCGTTTTAGGGCTTCTTTCTGAGGGTTTTGCACAGACCATAGATCCTAACCTGCATCTGGAAGCACCTTTAAATGTCTCCATGACGCTGCAGGTGAAGGAGCTTTGCTGTTTTAGCTGCAGGATGATTCATCTCTCAGGTTTTTATTTCTCAGATTTTCCATTCGTGGTGAACTTTTTTCGTTTGAGCTAATTTCCTTTTGGCTTCATGTATGTTTATTTGCATTCTTGCTTTACTTCCCCTCAGGCTTCGTGAGCCGACGACGTTTTTCCCCCCTGAGTTGCACATTAACTGGAGTGGGAGGCAGCTGAAGCTGACAGAAAGGTCTGCTGTGAGATGGAACTGCTTAAGTAACTTTTGGCAGATTGCAGATCGATCCGATCCTGACTGCGGGAAAAAGATGCTCTTTCTGATGAAATCCCCGTAGTTAATTCTTTAGAGGTTGTAGAAAAGGGCAGTGAATACATCCAGGGTCACATCTTTAAAAAGTCTAAAAAACTCCTTATAATGGATTAATTACATTAAAAATACATTCTTAGAGGTATTAAATGTTGAAGTCGGGGAATACTGAGCCAACATCAATATGTTGACAGGTAACTAGCTTTTTTTCAGTTTTCTGAAAAAAAGCTAGTTACCTATGCAATGTTTATGCAATGTTTTGCATTGATAAAAATCAGATCAATGCAAAACATTGATCTGATTTTGAAGCTGTTTCTAAGTCTTTCATGGAGCTTTTGGAAGTTTTCCTGTTTCCTTTTTGTTTTATTCTGGGTTCGTTTGGTTTCACTCAACAGGATTCAAGTCAAAAAAGAAGCAGAATACCAAAAAAACTTTACTCAATTAAGAGTAGAAATACTCCAGAATAAAATTACTCCAGTAAAATACCCCTGGAAGTAATGTTTTTGAAAAGATTCGCTCAATTATCTCGCACTGAATGTTGCATATTAAGTGTTTGAGTGTGAATATGTGAAGGCTCTCCTCTGACAGACGCTAGCTCTTCTGTTTTCATGGCGAACATCTTCTCACTCGTCATTTTCTCTCTCTCCTCCCTCCCTCTCTCTCTCTCGCTCGCCCCGGTGTGCCCGCCGCCCCCCGCTGACAGATGGAGAGCGAAAAGAAGAGGAAATACTCCACAAGCAGCAACGACTCTGACACCACTGACAGTAAGTGGAAGAAAGATGAAATGTGGATGTTTTTATCTGGAAGTGGAAGTTTCTGACTTTATGGCACAAGTATAAAAATGTTAAAGGTTTTATTAGTTACAGACATGAGTGTGTTTTTTCCTCCTTTTAACAAATTAAAATTGGAGCATGATTAGGAATAAAAGTCAGATGTATGGGATACATTTGGGTTCTGCTCCCTTTTCTTTGTAAATTGGACAAAAATAAATAAAGGGGAATAATTTTTACTTGGGCTGGAACGATTAATCAAATTAACTGTGATTAATCGATTACTGAAACCATCGTCAACTAATTTAGTTATTGATTAATCGTTAACTGGAGTATAAACACTCAAAACATGTCCAGGTGTTAAAAGAACATAATCAGAGGAGTAACTTAATACAATTTTGTACTTAACAAAATCACATTTCGCTATCTAATAATCAATAATGCAAAAATCAATCAATGAATCTACAAAATATCATTTTATAAAAATGCAAATGTTACTTTAGCTAATGGCTAATATAAGAGAAAATCAAACAAGAAGTTTCAATGTGATCAATTAGTGCAGCAGCAGCAAAAATAATGTTTCAGAAGCAAAATATTTCGGGTCATTTTATTCTTGCTGATGTTGAAAATGTATTTTATCAGAGTTTATTTTCCCCATTTGCTGTCAAGCATAAAGTTTGAGAACTGCTGACAGTTAAAAAGTCGATTTCTACAGGAGTTTAGAGAAAGAATGAAGCATTTCTAATGATTTGTGTCCAGAGGAGGCCGAATATTACTCAGGTAAGAGCAGAACTACCTCCACATGTTTTTACTCAAGAAAACGTAAAAATATTTGGTAAAACTCAAGTACTGAATAACATTTAATATTAAAAATGACATAACTGGATGAACTAAAATATAAGGTATATTAGCTATTTCGGTATTTTACGGACAAAATGACAATATTTCATGTAAGTGACAAAAAATCAAATAAAAAGTTTCAAATCTTGTGAACTTTAACAGAAACTGCAGGTGTTTGTCTGAGTCTGGTGACATTCTGGTTAAAATATGTTTGTTTTTCATTCACTGGGAAGAAAATCCAGAAATTTCACTCAAGTAAGAGCAGAAATACTTCAGGATAAAACGACTATTGAAAGTAAAAAGTGCAGCGCAGTGAAAGCAGCGACTATCTGGTTCTGTTTGTGTCTGATTGTGCAGCCGGACCTCTTGTCAGTGTCGCGGCCTGCGGTCTCAGGTCTGTGCAGCTTTTTTGCAGCATCTTTAATGGGCTGTTTGTGCTGCTCAGCGTTTCCTCCTGACCTCACTGGAGGTCATCAGGCTTCTAATTGAAGGATGCCCAGGATAATTTTGGCTGCTGGGCCTCTGAGAGTGGCTTCTAATTAACACGCAGCCATGATGGTAGGCTTCGCCTGCGTGTTCGGGTATCTGGTGACGGAGGCCAGCAGCTGCCATGTGGTAGCAGAGCTGCACTGCAAAACATTAAATCTTACCTGGTATTTTTTGTGCTTGTATCGCAGGATATGCACACAGCTGAAACCTCGTAAATGAGACATTAATCAACAATATGATGTGCATTGATGGGAAAATGTAATATTTCAATTGCTGACTGTGTTTCTATGACTTTGAATTTTTATATTTTTTTGATGTGAAGCTCTTTGAAATGTGCTATGCAAATAAAATTGGATGGATTGGCTAATAGAACAGTTGAAATAAAACAAAACTAACTTACAAGTAACTTCAGTGAGATATATGAACTTGTTTTTAGTCATTACAAGCAAAAAAGGAAAAAGTCTTGTTATAAGTTAAATAATCTAGAACTTTCTCATCGGTATTAAAGAATTATTTACTTAAATGAAGATCTTATTTCTTGCTGAAGATATGTGCTCTAGAGGCCTAACCAGAATACCTGCTTTAGTGTTTTTACAGTGCAGTGTGCAGAAGATTAGCACATGGAGTTTTGCAGACCGATAGGAATCATCAGCCCCACATTCTGGTTCAGATGTTCTGTGATATTTGCTCTGATGGGTTTTCTGTTCATGCAACCCTGGACCAGTGATCGTGTTGCTCTTTAACGCTGGACTTTTACTTCACGAACGTGAAAGTTTGATGTTTCCTGCAGATCCTGAAGAGCTGTGCCTGGCTGCAGGAGGAGAGCAATGTGCTCCTCATCAAGAGTAATTGAGCGTAAGCTTCCTGTCTGTTTGGAGCGAGAACCAAACTCCCATTAGGAGATTTTGGTGCTTCAGTCAGCGGCTGCTCCGGTTCTGTCCTGATGTGTGGCCCGACCGGTCTGGGTCGGTCACAGGAACCTTCAGACGGGACCGGCTGACCTGAGCCTAAAGCCAAACACACGACCTGATCAGGCCCTCGACACCCTGGCAACGCTCCGGCCCAAGAAATCAATTCATGGCAGGATCAAGTAAAGCGAGCTCAGTCGTGATTTATCGTTTCTCTCTCCACCAAAAACCGGATGGTAAAAGTTTTCAGTCTGGTGTTTTGGTCTCAACCAGCAGGGACTTTATAATTCATTTTATTTGTTGTCCTGTTGATTTATTTTGGCTATTTAAAATGTCTCCCAGTTCCAGCATTAAATGTTTAACGTTTATTGAGCGTTGAGAATCTGTTCCTGCTTTATTACTATTTCACTACCATCATATTACTGGAAAACAATGCTATCGTTAATGACAATAACTTCTTAACAATTCCCAAAGAAAAGAATCGTGTTTTTGTCCTGCAGTGAAATATCTGGATGTAAACAGCAAGGCGTCGATATAATCGTTCGACATTCCTGGACGTGTTTCAGGTCATTTGTAGCAACTGAAAGTCAAAAAGGTTTTAATGTTTGAGGCTGAATCCTCATCAATAAATACACACTCCTTCACTGTGTGTGTGATCTCAGTGGTGAAGGGGTCGTGACCTCCAAAGGCAGCGAGCTGCTGACGGGTGAAGCCAGCACGGCGATGGACGAACATGTTGAGTGGGAGGCGCGCGTTCACAGGCGCTCGGACTCTGATGTGCCACATTCAACCCAAATTCATTGCAAAGGACGCCGTCTGATTCTGTTTGTCATTCCTCGGTGTGCAGACTCAGGCAGACATGGTTTGGGTGCTGAAGGATGTAAAAGCAGCGAAACCCGGTGGAGCTGCTGGGTGAAGTGGTGGGTGGATGCTGGCTCCAGCCTCTGCTTAATTACAATTAAGTAGAGTATTAATGAGCTGGTAATGGAGCGTAGAGGAGCAGGGCGCTAACAAGATGTTATTTATATTGTCGTTACCTAATTAACCTCTTCATGGATCGTCATCAGTTAAAGCCTTCAGCCGCTGTTTGTTTGGAAGCTTTTCCATTTCATTTAGTCATTTAATTCAAACCAGTTGTTAAAAACTCAGTTGGACGAGAGAAAACGTGAACGATAAACCAGGAACTGAATAATCAGCTTAGGGTTAGTTTTCTGTTTGCAAAGGAATCAACATTTACCAAATATACTATACTAACAAAACAATAATTTTACACAAACAAAATGATTACAAACTAACGACAGGAAAATCTACAGACCCCTGGCAACAATAATAGTAGCAATTATTATGTTATTCTGTAAATAACATCGGAATAATTACCAACTCTATAAATTCTTTGTAATCTATTTTATATAACAGAAAATAAAATAATTTATTTAAAAGATAAATCTTTGAGCTCTGTAATAACATTTGTTCTGCAGATTTTCTGCTGAGTCATTGTTAAGCCCTCATTGTTTCGGCTTTTCTCCAGTTTCTCAACGAACTGCAGTGAAGGATTTCACATCTCAAACTGAGGATTTTTGTTTAATGACAATCGTCGGCATAAAGGGACCAGAACGGGATGATTGATCTGTGTCTGTAACGGTCCTGCAGGTCAGGTGACGTCGTGGTCCAGGTCCTCGAAGAACGCCGGCACCAGCAGCACCTGGGTCCGCCTCCCGCACAAGAAACCATCCGAGGTAGGACAGCTGCTGCTCTGGAGCTCCAGTTTGACCAATTCAGATTATTTAAAAACAATTATTGATGGTTGATTGTTCAGATTCCAAGTCAGGTTTATGTTTTATATCACAAATAAAACTGCAGGTTTAAAGTGATTTTAGTTTCGTTATGAATGAAGGCAGCAGCTGCATTTCTACTGACCAAATAATTTGATATTTTGAAAATAATTTTGCTTAATGGGAAACATGGAAATTAAAAAAATTATTTTTTTTAATAACGCGAATCACATGATCAGAACAGGAAGTTACTACTGGTGGAAACCAAGAAGAAGACAGGAAGCAGTTGCAGAAGGATGACGCTTCATGTCAAACTTACTCAACTTATTGTGATTTTAATCCTTTTTTTATGTAATGGAAACACTGTAATTGTGAAACTACAGTGTAATGGAAACTCCGCTGCTGTTTCAGCAGTTTGGTAGTTTTCTGGGAGTTTGTTGCAGATTTGTGATGCGTAGAAACTGAATGCTGCTTCTCCAGAAGACCTGAGACTAAAGATAATTTCTCTTGTCCTTTTGAGGTCAGAGGTCATCCTCTGTAATATCTGAAGCTGTGCACTGACTCAGCTTCAGATCTCTGATGTAAAACTTATTCACCAGTTTGATGTGAAGTAAACATTTCTATATGTAACACAAAGATGTTTGTCTGGTTCCTTTCTCATAAAATACATTTCCAGACAAAGAAACTTCATATTTCTAAACTTTTTATGATAAAACCCCTCAAAGCGCCGTGTGTGTTGAGCTCGTGTGTGTTGGCTGGACGTGGCTCCTGCTGCTTCACTGATTAGCTTCTGCATCAGTTTCTTGCTCTAATGCTGCAGATTCATAGAAGTATTCATTCATCTTTGAAAATCAGACGATATTGTCAGAGTGTGAGGTTCTCCTTCGGTCCGGTTAGCGTTGCTCCATGTTAGCGCGTTCTGCTGAGCAGCCCGAGTCACGGCTGGGAAGGACGGGTTGGTTAAACGCCACCGCTCCGAAATGACCAGCCTGCCAAAGAAACCGGCATCGTCCAGTTGGGAACTGGAGAACTGATGCAATCACACATTCCTCCCACTCCAGCCGGGTTGCTGTTCAAATTCACCTTCTAGAATTATTTTTACGGTACGTCTACGTTCAGGAGGCAAATGTTCTGCTCCGTTCGCCTCCACAGAGACTCAGACTGACTCTCTTTGCCCAGAGAGTGTGAGTCGTCAGCAGAGCATGTCAAGCTTCCTTCGCCTCCATGCAGCTAACCACAGGCTGCTGGAAGGTCCTGTCAGCAATCAGTCGCTCAGTAATTACCTTCAGCTCTCTGCTCTGACCCCGGGCCTCCGCCGAGGAGTCAGGGGCCACGTCCCTTTCAAAACGCTGCCTCAGCGCAGCGCTGCCTCAGCGCTGCGCTGCCTCAGCGCAGCGCCCCGCAGCGCCCCGCAACGCCCCGCAGCGCCCCGCAGCGCCCCGCAGCGCCCCGCAGCGGTACATGTTAAAGTGCCTGGAGTCCAATTTTCTTGGAAATTGCATCAAAACTTTGTTTTTAGATAATCAGATTTGTTCATCTGTTGATTCAACGCAAACAGAAAGAAAAATGGAGGTTATGAGTAAAGACACATGTTCAGCGCAGAGAACCAGGAAGGTTTAAAAGGCGTTGTGGTGAAATGTTTGTGTGGCGGCGCAGAGGCAGAGCGCTGAGCTTCGTCTCCAGAGACCAGAGCTGAACTCCTCTTCGTCAGAGAAACCTCGCTGCTCTTCTCCTCCGGGAATCGTATGACAGTCTGCATAACTCCGTATCGTGGAACCAGGACACACATGTTGGGGCGGCGCCTGCCTCAACGCAACAGACAGCAGGATGAATTTCCACACTACCGGGGATTTCCTCCCTGAAATTGTTCCCCACACACAGATGGGAGTTTGTATTCAAATCCTCTTTCATCTCCGTCTTCATTCCACACAAGTTGTATTTTTCTATCTTGTGCCAGTAACTAAATCAAAGTTTGACATTATTTCTTTTTTTCCAGTTGTATAACATTTACAGTTGAAAGCAGATGTTTACATGCATCTTTTCTTTTTCCTCACTGTCTGACAAAAGTTTCTGGATTTAAACCAAAATTAATTTAGTCATAAAAAATTAATTTGAGTCATAAAATCTTCAAATTATTTCTGAAGCCCAGATAATGATGAGCTTCATTCACATTTCAGTGATTTAGCTTCATGAATTATCTGGAAGGAAGTTGGGAATGTGTTTTCAGGTGACACGTCGCGCGTCACTCTTCTTGCTGCGCCATCAACAAACACAAAATTTAAAGAATCTTAGTTCCTCTGTCAGACTGTTAAACTCATAACAAACATTTTTGTGAAATAATCTTGACCTCAAACCTTCCCAGCAATATTAAAGAATCATTTACATAAAATAACCGCAAACATCTTCCTGGAATTTTGCTTTAATTTAGTTTTTTCTAAAGATATTTGCAGTAGAAACTTTTACATTTTATGCAAATTATATTATTATTAAAATCAGGAAATGAATTATTTGCATTTTTTTATGTATTTCTAATATTGTACAAAATATGAAAAATCTTCAGAATTTTTCAATTTGTTCATCTGATTGTTCAGTTAATTGTCAGGATATTCCGTGGCATACAAGATGTGTATCAAATTAAGATGACAGCAGATAAACTGTCATCATCAATAATCTTTAATCTGCCAGTTTGAGCTATTTTTGTGGCATATTCTGGAAGTGTTGAAGGCTAAAGTTTAATCTTCTGATTAAAACTAATGTAGAAGACGTTTGGAAATATGAATGGACGAAGCTTCGTTTAAATGTCGGTGGAACGGCTCTCGTATCGTTTACCGAATGTCTGGAAAATGTTTCATTAAATAAAGTAAAAGGACGGGATAATGAAGTCAGGTATCTACAACTTGTTCTCCTTTTAGAAACGTTTGGCAGCCTAGAAAGGCGCCAGTCTGAGCGCCTCCCGGTGTTCGACGGAGGAAGGAAGGAAGTGATGTCGGTGGGGTTTCCCAGCACAGCGGAGCAGGTGTGAAGCCGTGCTGCTGCCTTCCTGATCGATCTGTTGCTCAGTGCTGCAGGTTAAGTGTAAAGGTGTAAACCAGGTGCAAAGCTCAGAAAGCCACTGGATTTGAAACAGAAACAGTTTTTACTTCCTGAGCTTTGAGCGAGGGACGGCGCAGTGCAGGGACAGTCCCACCGTTCACAATCGGTGACATTAATGATCATCTGACAGGATTCTTTATGTTAATTATGGAGCTGAAGGTCAGGTGACTAAATCAGTTGGAGATATTTTAGTGAGCTGCACCGATCAGACTCTTACCGGTCATACCGATAATATTGATTTTGGATCAATAAGGACAACATTAATCTGAAATGGAAAAGTCTTCATATTCATTAAGCTACTGAGGCTTTTGACTTTCTGCTACAACTGCAGTTCTGTCAAAGTGTTTGGTATGAACAGAAAAATACGTGGTTTTTTTATGTAAAACTCTAAATCCATAAAAGTTTGTGGTTTTAAAAATGTGAAAATTTACCTTTGCAGGAATCAGATTGAGTCTGTTTTCAGTCCGTTGTGTAAAGATTTGTTGCCGACTCGACTTTGACACTTTAAACTCGACGTTTTGAAAAAGATTTTTATTGAGAAAGTCTGAAAAGCAGCCAGATGATTAACATCATTGTGCAGCGGATGAATAGAACCTGATTAACTGCTTCGCTTTATTTTCTTCTGTTTACGTAACAAAAGCTTCCAGTTTTCACTGCTTAGGAAGAAATTAGCATATCTTTGCACCTCAAATGTTGAGATCACAGTTGGATTATTTTAATCAGGAGATAATTACTCACCTGGTGACATTTACTTCTTACTCACTCACACCTACATGAAATATCTCCAAACAGCCACATTTATCAGCGTTTTAACTTCATTTTTGTTTTTGAGGTTTTGTTGTTTGTTTGTCTTTATTTGAAAGTATTGAAACAGGAAAGAGGGACGGCGTAAGGCCAAAGTTTAACATCTTAAGAAGCTTCATCCAGGTTTTTGCCTGAAGTTTAATGTAACAGTGAAATGGTCAACAACCATCCTGTCATATTCATTAAAATACAAACCTGGGCAAAATCAAAGAAGAGAATCATAAAAGCATCAATAGATAAAAGATGATCAACCAGAAATATGTAGGAAATAGTTTGCTATTGTTTTCAAATCGAGCCAGAATAGTTTTCAGTTTGTCACCTTTGGTAAACACGGTGAGCGAGTCGTGCCGGGTTTGGGATGCTAACAGCTGCTGCGGCTCATTAGCGTTGGCTGATTCGCCAGAGCGACCAGATGTAAACAGTTGAGGGTTTTCTGCTCACACACAAACTCTCACGCTGTCTGCCAGTCCCAGCGAGTGGACGGAGAGCTGTGCATGTCCACACATCCCGGCTGGGAAACGACGGCTAACAAACACCGTGTCCAGACGGACACGCTGCCCAGCGCTCACATTCACACACGGCGAGCCAACACGGCCTCCAGCTGTTGTAGTCAGACGTCACCTTCCAGCTTCTGCAGCACCAGGTTTCCTTCTGCAAACATGGCTGCTAAAATCAGGATTGCTTTCAATGATAACAATTACTAAAGTCTGAGCAGCTGGGAGGGATGACGGAGTTTCTCTACTTGAACTAATCAATTATCCTGACTTTAAACAGATTTTTACATTAAAAGATGCAAATAAACAAAAATATCTCTTCATGTCTAATATGCAATAACAACATTCCTTTAGTGAACACTTTATCTGCATCAACCTGTGAAGATCTCAGGCTTCTTGCTGGACATCAGCTGGTGTTGGCTGCTATTATTATTTAGATCAATTGATTAATAACTGGAGAGTAAAAGGTGAAGCTGCAATACGAGGCTTTCTAGAATATATTTACAGACAAATGTTTGTTATTTTAGATGAAAATCTACATCTTTTCTGTTTAGCTTAGGCTTAATTGCTACA